CACTGATAAACAAAAGTAATAGTATTTTTCAATTCACCTTATACAAGTACCATAATGCAATCTCTTTATCGTGAAAGTGCAACTTTCAAATGTAGTTTTTTTTTTTTTTTTTTTTGTTACGTAACTGCAGTCAAAAACAAAACGATGTAAAACTTTAGAACCTACAAGTCTACTCAGTCCTACTTCTTATTCAGCCAATCACTAAGACAAACAAGTTTGTTTACATTTAGGGGAGATAATGCTGCCAGCTTCTTATTTACAATGTCACTGGAAGATGAGAACAGGCATTTGCATGGCACTTTTGTAGCTGGCATTGCAAGGTATTTACGTGCCAGATATGTTAAACATCCGTATACCCGTTTATGCTTCATTCCAGAGGACATACTTCCATGCTGATGATGCTCATTTAAAAAAAAAGTGTTAATTAAATTTGTGACTGAACTCCTTGGGGGAGAATTATATGTCTCCTGTTCTGTTTTACCCGCATTCCGCCATATATTTCATGTTATAACAGTCTCGGATGATGACCCAGCACATGATCATTTTAAGAACACTTTCACAGCAGATTTGACAAAACGAAAAGAAGGTACCAATGTGAGATTTCTCGACCCAAGGTTTAAGAATCTGAAGAACCTTTCAAAATCTGAGAGGGATGAAGTGTAGAGCATGCTTTCAGAAGTCTTAAAAGAGCAACACTGTGATGCAGAAACTACGGAACCCGAACCACCAAAAAAGAAAATCAACCTTCTGCTGGTGGCATCTGACTCAGATGATTAAAGTGAACACGTGTTGGTCTGCACTGCTTTGTATCATTATCGAGCAGTACCTGTCATCAGCATGGATGAATGTCTTCTAGAATGGTGGTTGAAGCATGAAGGGACATATGAATCTTAAGCGCATCTGGCATGTAAATATCTTGCTACAACAGTGCCATGCGAACGCCTATTCTCACTTTCTGGTGACACTGTAAACAAGAAGCGGGCAGCATTATCTCCTGCAAATGTAAACAAACTTGTTTGTCTGACTGGCTGAACAAGAAGTAGGACTGAGGGGACTTGTCGGCTCTAAAGTTTTACAGTGCTTTATTTTTGAATGCAGTTATTTTTTGTATGTAATTCTACATTTGTAAGTTCAACTTTCATGATACAGTGCATGAGGTGAATTGAAAAATGCAATTTTTGTTTTTTACAGCACAAATATTTGTAAGAAAAAATATAAAGTGAGCACTGTACATTTTGTATTGTGTTGTAATTGAAATCAGTATATTTGAAAATGTAGAAAACATCCAAAAATATTTAAATAAATGGTATTCTATTATTGTTTAACAGTGCGATTAATCATGATTAATTTTTTTAATCGCATGCTTAATCGCGATTAATTTTTTTTAATCGCTTGGCAGCCCTATTTAGAATCCTTTTATCACTTTGATCTCTTGGTTGATCTAATTTTCAAGGCTGTCTTGGGGATAGTGTAGGTGGGAGGAGTGTTTTAGCACTTTGTTGTCCTCATTTAAAATTCAGATTAGTGTTTCTGGCTGGCTTCATAAACCCTGCAGAGTGCTCAGAATTCTCTTAAATTCAAAAACACTGTAGTGAATAATTCCTATGTTATCCTTCAGACTTCCCAGAAATACTCAAAAGCTCTGCTCCTTGTTGAGGATAACAGAATAAACCAAAAGGGGAGTTTCTAGGCCAAACTCCTTTTGGAAGACTGTTTTGCCAAAAAAAGATTATAGTCCATATTTAAAAAAAAAAAAAAAAATTTCTTCTGGCACAGTATTTGTTTAGTTTTGGTGAAGTTTAGGGAGTTGGAGGAGACTGTTAGAGCTGGTCTTAATTGGCAAGTTACATCTCCAACCTGTAAAGACCTAGGTATGTACATGCGATTAGTTCCCCTGAACGCAATGGGATTACTCGTGCTTTTTGAGTTCTCATTGTCCCATTAATAGGGCTGTGCACTTGTTTAATGTAAACACAGGCATAAATCTCTGTAGCATCAAGTCACTGTCAAAACTTTATACTAGCGATAATCACTTACAATAATGCTCCTACTGCAAAAGTAACACTCCAGAAGAAGTAGGTTGAACTGCAAAATGGGCACTATTGCTTCATTGTAGCTGTTTATTCTGGCTGTTTCAGTATATGTAGTAAAGATCTGTTTGCCAGTTGTGGTTTCAGCCACCGAGCTGAAATGGTTGCATAGAAAGTTTCAGCAAAGCAAAATATGGTACAGACCATTTCTCTTTGTACCTGTCATAAATCAGATGCTGTTTTTGCTCTCTGCTCTTGGGGCAGGACTACATTGGATGGTGTTCTTAAACCTTGCCACAGATCTCAAGTCTGAATGAAGCTGCCTCTGTAATGCAGTGGGAACACATTTTTACCTTTGCTCTCTGAACTGCACTGGTTTCCTGTTTGTTTCTGGGAGCAATTCGAGATGTTGATTCTAATCTGTAAAGTTCTTCTTTCTGTCTGACACCATGTCTCTCTCTGCACCATCACAACACATGAGATGCTGACAGCTCTTAGATATGTGATCTTAAGGGCTGGAGCAGAGGGTCCCCAGCTGTGGGAGCGCTCTGCTTTGGGCAATCCAAGAGAGCTTTCAAATTCACTGATTTTTTTTTTTTTTTTTTCTTTTTCAGAAGGCCATGCAAGACACCATTTTTAGTCCAGATCTACTCTTGTTATTGATCATCCCTGTGATATTTATAATGGCTTGTTAAAGCAACAGGGCTGCTTGTGCTTTCTGTTGCGAACAGTTTCATTTGTTCTTTATGTTAACTTGCGTCATGTGCCCAGCTGCCACAGCACAAGTGCATAAAAATATAGAAATGTCATCCCTTCTGTTTCCTACAGCTTTAGCTGAAAGCCTTCAGGTTTCTAATCCAAAAATAATATAGAGTTCTGGGTGGTTCTTAGTGTCCTCTGAAATGTGTCTTGTGCTCTTTGGATGGTGTAACATTTAAATACCTTCTGAAAGCTCGTGGTCATTGAGCATTGTGGGGTGCATTCAAGTAAGTGCCAGAATTACCTCAGGAGTTTAGCCAGGCCGTTGCACTTGGATATGCGACGTCCACAACTTTTGATGTCAGTGCCCCTCTACCAGTACTACAGAAAAGAGACTGGGAGGCAAGGACCAGATGTATAGCTCCATTTAGGAATGAGAAGTAAACCTAACTCTTGCCCCTCCTCCTTAAAAATATGGAGCCATCTTTGGAGAGGTGGGATAAATGCTACTGGTTCTTCAGACGTGAGTCTTAAAGGGTCTAAACTGGACGTAGAACAACTTTGTTATGGGATTTCCGTTTTACGGGCCACACTAAATACATCTTTGAAGAAGGGAGTGGGGAAGTAGATGGAAAGATTAAATTTATGTGTGTAGTAAGACCATGTTTGGCTTTAACAGTACACTGGAGAACTTCTTTATGAAGACCATGTCATTTTAGAAAATGGCCCTTGTAGCGCAGCCAAGAGCAGTGAGACCTATAGTAGGGTCATCTGCTGAGTAAGTGCTGATAATGGAAGTCAGTGATAGTGATGACAGCTTAAATATTTAAGTTCGGTCATTCTCCTAAGATGATACATTTGGGAAAAATATATATGTAAACCTGTTTGTGTTTAGAGAAATTCTAGTGCCTCACATAAAGGGCTTTGTATGGGGAAACAGTGTTGGAGCTGACTGGAACACAGGCAGGCCATGGAATCCTTTTGCATTTCACTCCCCACCAAAAGAAAACCAAACCAATAACAACAACAAAAGGTTGCAGATCAGTACAGTTGATTGGCTGTAATGCTGAATACAACCTGTGTGTAACAGACAGGCTGGAGCCTGGCACCTCTATCTCCGGGTCTCAGTAGGTATTCTGTGAGGTTACGGTTTTTGAAGGGAGTGTGTGACTGTTGAGAGCAAGGCCTGCTGGGAATGGGGAAGCAGAATATAAAAGGCAGGTGACCAGGTCTTATTTGCCCGTGTGGAGAGAGACTTGCTAAGAACAGCATGCTGATGAGGTTCTCCAGTGACTGGGGGCCAGCAAGCAGGATTCCCAGTAAGGGGCCATGCTAAAGCCCGTGGAGGGAGATGGGCCAGTGTAGGAAGTGGGTCACAGAGAATTATGCATGGAGTGGGCAGCTTTTTTGCTGCTGTAAGATGTTAGGGGCTGGAGCCTCTGATTAAAGGATGGCACAGGCTTCCCTGTGGTGCTGCCTGACAGCAGTAGTGTACTGGCACCATGACAGTCAAGGGGCAAAGAGGCTGTTGTGATACCACTGAAGCAGAAGGGGAAATTCCAGACTTGTCCAGACAGGTTTTCCTTTGGGCCTTTGTTTACCCCAACAAGGAATGATTTTCAGTTGGGTCAGAGGGTCAAACTACCTTAGCAGTAAAGGCAAGCAGAGGCGTAGATGGAGGAAACAGAGGCAGGGGTCTACCTAGCCTTGCATGTACCCCATAATGGGGGTTTGTGGCTAGTGGATCTATCCAGTTCCTGGACCTGGATTGATGTGTATAGTCAAGTCCTGCCACACTCTTGGCTAACCAGAGCTTGCCCTGCTGCAGAACTCAGCCCTATGGCATACAGAGGGCTGTGGAGTCAAACTCTTCTCCTTCTGTGCTTCCCGTCCTCCCCTCTCCCAAATAGTAGAACCATATTGGTTCTATTGCGTGTGTGTGCCTGACGTGCAGATACTTGGATGATTTGATCTCCAGGCAGTTTCTGTTCTTCCTTCTTTCTTCTTTTTATAGGAACCCTCCTGCTCCAACAAAAATACAGACAGGTTTGAGCTGAAGCCTGGAAATCTGGAATGAGTTGCATACTGGCATTCTTTTTCTCTAAAATTGTATGAAAAGGGAAGATTTGCAGAGAATACACAGTCCATGTGCAAAATATACAGTGTGACACACCAAGACTTGCTTTTATAAAAATATGTTGATGCAAATGATCAAATTTTAAAAAACTAAATTTAATTCTTTGTAACTTAACAAAAATATGCTCTTTGCAGGATGAACTTACTGCAGTGAATGTAAAGCAGGGTTTCAATAATCAACCAGCCTTCTCTGGAGATGAGCATGGATCTGCTAGAAATATTGTCATTAATGCCTCAAAGGTAAGGCAATGTTTATTAGTTTGCTGGAGTACTGATTTACAAACGTGTGTGTATTTTACCATTTAAGTTACTTTTTTTGGAGGATGGGGGGAGGGAAAGTTGTCTACAATTTGTAAGTCAACAGTGGTGTTTTTTGTTTCAGATTGTTCTACCCTAAAGTCTTAGTATTTGTAGATCAAGATTGGATGTTTGTCTAGAAGGTATGCCCTAGGAATTATTTTCAGGAAGTTCTGTGGCCTGTGCTATACAGACATCAGAATAGAAGATCACAATGGTTCCTTCTGGTCTAAGAATCTGAGTATTGAAATTAATTATAAACCTAGTGTAAGAATGTTGAGAGTAAATTCCAGTTCTTCAGCTGGTTGCTGTACTGGCCGTCAGATGTTAATAATAGGGTTGTAAGTAATAACCAGCATGGATTTGTCAAGAACCAATCAGGCCAAACCAATCTAACTCTTTGACCGGGTTACTGGCCTAGTGGATAGGAGGGAATCTTTAGATGTGATAATCTTGATTTTTAGTAAGGCTTTTGACATAGTCTCATAAGTAAATTAGGGAAATGTGGCCTAGATGAAAGTACTATAAGGTGGGTACAAACTGGTTGAAAGACTGTACTCAGAGTAATTATTAATGGATCGCTTTCAAACTGGGGGGATCTATCTAGTGGAGTTGCACAGGGGTCTGTTCTAGACCTGATACTATTCAGTATTTTCATTGATGACTTGGATAATGGGACATGCGCGGGGGCGGGGGGAGAGAGCAAACAGGGCCATGCTCCCCCCACCCCCAATAATCGGCAGGGCCACAGAACTCCTCCTGGCCTCAGGGCTGCGGCAGGGAGAGCAAGCTCCTGGCTGTGGCGGGGGCACAGAATGTGACCCTCCAAAAGCGATCAAATTCCTGCAGACCCCTCTGCTTATATTTGCAGATGACCCCAAGTTGAGAGAAGTCGCTAGCACTTTGGAGGACAGGATTAGAATTCAAAATGACCTTAACAAATTGGAGAATTGGTCTGAAATCAACAAGATGAAGTTCCTTAAAGACAAGTGCAAAGTACTACACTTAGGAAGGAAAAATCAATGTAGAACTACAAAATGGGGAATAACTGGCTAGGTGTCAGGCAGTACTGCTGAAAAGGATCTGAGGATTATAGTGGATCACAAATGGAATATGTGTCAACAGAATGATGCAGTTTTGAAAAAAACTAATATCATTCTGGCGTGTATGAACAGGAGTATTGTATGTAAAATGTGGGATGCAATTGTCTTGCTCTGTTTGGCACTGGTGCAGCCTCAGCTGCAGTACCAGGGCCAGCTCCAGCTTTTCAGCCGCCCCAAGTGGCAAAAAAGAAAAAAAAGAAAAGAAAAAAAGGCGAGCGGCAGCACTTCGGTGGCAGCTCAATTGCAGGTCCCCCTCTCTTCCTCTTCGGTGGCAATTCGGCGGCAGCTCAAAGAGGAAGAGGGGGAATGAGGGACCCGCCGCTGAAGACCCCTTTTGAATTGGCTGCCCCAAGCACTTGCTTCCGAAGCTGGTGCCTGGAGCCAGCCCTGTGCAGTACTATGTCCAGTTCTGGGCGCCACACTTTAGGAAAGATATGGACAAACTGGAGAGAGTCCAGAAGAAAGATACTGAAATGATAAAAGGCTTAGAAAACCTCGTGTATGAGGAAAAGTTAGAAAAACTGGACTCCTTTAGTCTTAAGAAAAGACTAGGTGTGGGGGTGGGGAGAACGTGATAACAATCTTCAGATATGTTAAGGGCTGCTATAAAGAGAACTCTGATCAATTTTTCTCCATGTCCACTGAAGTTAGGACTAGAAGTAATCAGTTTAATTTGCAGCAAGGGAGATTTAGGTTAGATATAAAGAAAAGCATTTGAATAGGCTTCCAATGGAGGCTGTCAAGTTCCCATCATTGGAGGTTTTTAAGAACAGGTTAGACAAACACCTGTTCAGGGATGGTCTATGTGAACTTGTTCTTGCCTTAGCACAGAGAGCTGGACTAGATAACTTTTCTTGGTCCCTTACAGCCCTCTATGTGGGGAAAAAAGGGTACTTAAAAACTGAGTACTGTATACTTGACATAATACCAGATTGTAACATTTCAGTCTGAAAAAGGTAATTACTTTTTGTTTCCAGTCTTACGTTTTCATGGTTTATAAAGGCAATAATGACTTTCTTTCCTTGTAGGTAATCATTGCTGGTATAAAGACACCTGCCTTGTGGTGGGCCCTTAACTATTCCAGCTGTTTACTTACTGCCAGGAAATACCTTCCCCATCAGCCATTGTTGCATGTTGGTTTTATTCAAATGAACATTTTTTTTAAAATGTAGTTTTGAATTGTATTTACTGAAACTTCACATACATTTTTTATGAAGAAAGCTAAGCAAGTATCAAAGTACTGTAAAGCTCAATAAAATATTAGTAAAACTCTTCTAATATGATCATTACAGCTGATAACTCAAATTATTTTTTGAAAACAAGGTTTTTCGAAGGAAACAGAGAATTTCTTTTTTTCCTCCTCTGTTCTACTCCACCACTGGGAAAGGAGGTGGGGGGAAGGAATTATTTATTTATTGACTGAAATCCTGAAGTTTCAAGCAAAATGAAAAAAAACTTTATTGCATTTGTAATTTTTAATAGAAAACACTTATTTTCAGAGCTGGTTGGAAAAGTGATTTTATTGTGATAATAAGTAATCAACTGTTTTGTACACAGGACATGTAGCTGTTATTTGGGGAAGCATAAATATCAAAATATGATATTTGCCAATTTATTCTTTTAAAATATTAAAAGATGCATATACAAATTGGTTCTATTGACAAAATACTAGAGCGTTTATGCTACATTCTTGTGGCTTTCGTATCCTCTAGAACTGCTACCTGCAGACACTTGCTTTGTCATTTAACTTTTAATTAGTCTTGAATTGAATAATCTTGTATTGTGATGAGATCTTAACTATTCAAAAATACAAACTTAAAAAAAAAACAGTTTGAGGAAATGCTCATAGCTGTTTAAAATTGTTTTATTCTACATGACTTAAAATATGTTCAATGTCTATTTTAAAGCCTTTCTGCTGAAATTAAAACTTAACCAACTGGAAACATTCTCCATGAAGATTAAAAAGTCCCCCTCAAAATGGTTTTAAAGTATCCATCTATACTAGCTTATGTTGCGATGAAATACTTGTTTTAAGATGTAAATAAATTTGGATAACTTTTTTTTTCTTTATCCCATCTTTGTTTTTCCTGCTGTTGGTAGGACAGTCAATTTTGGTTGCACGTATTCCTTGAGGTTTCATCACATGACATCTTTAATTAAAGATGAATCTTTAATTCCTGGAGACTGCAGGACAATCCCGGAGGGTGGGCAACCCTAGCTGTTGGTTGAACCTGAAATTGCTGAAATACTGTAAAAGGCAGTTCCCTCGAGCATTTTTGGCTTAGAAATAGGGCTGTCGATTAATAGCAGTTAACTCACGTGATTAACTCAAATTAATCACAATTTAAAAATTATTTGCGATTAATCGCACCACTAAACAATGAAATACCAATTGATATTTATTAAATACTTTTGGATGTTTTTCTACATTTTCAAATATATTGATTTCTATTACAACACAGACTACAAAGTGTACAGTTCTCACTTTATATTATTATTTTTGATTACAAATATTTGCAATGTAAAAACGATAAACAAAAGAAATAGTATTTTTCAATTCACCTCATACTAGTACTGTAATGCAATCTCTTTATCGTGAAAGCGTAACTTACAAACGTAGGTTTTTTTTTTTTTTTATATATTTTCTCACAAACAAAACAATGTAAAACTTTAGAACAGTGGTTCTCAAACTTTTGTACTGGTGACCCCTTTCACATAGCAAGCCTCTGAGTGCGACTCCCCTTATAAATTAAAAACACTTTTAAATATATTTAACACCATTATAAATGCTGGAGGCAAAGCGGGGTCTGGGTGGAGGCTGACAGCTCGCAATCCCCCATGTAATAACCTTGTGATCTCCTGAGGGGTCCAGACCCCCAGTTTGAGAACCCCTGCTTTAGAGCCTACAAGTCCACTCAGTCCTACTTCTTGTTTAGCCAATTGCTAAGACAAACAAGTTTGTTTACATTTAGCGGAGATACTACTGCCTGCTTCTTATTTACGTCACTGGAAAATGAGAACAGGTATTTGCATGGCACTTTTGTAGCCGGTATTGCAAGGTATTTATGTGCCAGATATGCTAAACATTCGTATGCCCCTTCATGCTCTGGCCACCATTCCAGAGGACTTACTTCCATGCTGATGATGCTCATTTAAAAAAATATGTTAATTACATTTGTGACTGAACTCCTTGGGGGAGAATTCTATGTCTCCTGTTCTGTTTTACCGGCATTCTTCCATATATTTCACGTTATAGCAGTCTCAGATGATGACCCAGCACATGATCATTTTAAGAACACTTTCACAGCAGATTTAACAAAATGCAAAGAAGGTACCAATCAATGTGAGATTTCTAAAAATAGCTACAGCATTCAACCCAAGGTTTAAGAATCTGAAGTGCTGTCCCAAATCTGAGAGGGACAAGGTGTGGAGCATGCTTTAAGAAGTCTTAAAAGAGCAACTCTCCAATGTGGAAACTACAGAACCCAAACCACTAAAAAAGATATCAACCTTCTGCTGGTGGCATCTGACTCAGATGACAAAAATGAACATGAATCGGTTCACATTGCTTTGGATTGTTATCGAGCAGAACCCGTCATCAGCATGGACGTATGTCCTCTGGAATGGTGGTTGAAGCATGAAGGGACATATGCATCTTTAGTGCATCTGACACGTAAATATCTTGCTATACCAGCTACAACAGTGCCATGTGAACGCCTGTTCTCACTTTCTGGTGACATTGTAAACAAGAAGTGGGCAGCATTATCGCCTGCAAATTGTAACCCAACTTGTTTGTCTGAGTGACTGACTGAACTCTACATTTGTAAGTTGAACTTTCATGATAAAGAGATTACACTACAGTACTTGCAGTAGGGAAATTGAAAAAAAATTTTTTTTACAGTGCAAATATATCTGTAATCAAAAATAAATATAAAGTGAGCACTGTACACTTTGTGTTCTGTGTTGTAATTGAAATGAATATTAGAAAATGTAGAAAACACCCAAAATATTTAAATAAATGGTATTCTATTATTGCTTAACAGCACGATTAATCAAGATTAATTTTTTAGTCGCTTGACAGCCCTACTTAGAAGAAATCAAGAAGTATGGGAAATCTCAGGAATCTATGCTTAAACATTTGCATACACATTTGAACCTTTATATGCTTATCCGTACCTTTTCAGGTTTGAATATAATCGCTGATGATAGAAGGGAATTGAATACTGTCCTGGTCATAACTGAGGGCTTGTCTACATGGCAAGATGCTGTGTGGCAAACCAGGGTGTGAATCTACAGTACTGTAGGTCGCTGCATAGTAATGTCCCACATGGATACTGCTACAGCACACTGAAAGTCCTGGAGTGAGGCTTAGCAGACTACTACTTGAAAATACAGTATGCTAAGTCATTCACTGTGTTGTAACATGTCCACGTGGGACGTTACTGCGTGGTAAGCTGGTGTGTGGGGTAGGGGAAGGGGCATGCACATGACCGCACTCATAACGTGCTATAATGATGAAAGATCGAGGAACAGTGAGAAATGTATTACTGTTAAAGTAGTTATTTTAGACTTGTATTATGGTCTCAATCCAGCAAAGGATTTAAGCACACTTTTAACTTTAAACACGCGAGGAGTCCCATTAAAATGGAATGATTCATGTACTTAATGTTTAGGAGAATTTTCAATTCTTTCCTGGAATGGGCCTAAATTGGGGAGAATGCTCTGTTGGAGAGACATGGAAGTATGAGTTATAGTGTAATCATTGGAAGTATGATGTCCACTGCATTTTTTTTTAACTTTATCAGGCATCTTCAAGAGCCTTTTTGTTTACTGCTTGGCTCTATTGGCCCTTCTCTCCTATGACTAGTAATGGTGCTCTGGCGCTTAGCATCAGGAAACTCCAACTCCGAGCTCCAGGGAATTAAACTGTAAGCTCATTAAACTGATAGCTTAGACTAGAGTGATGACTACCTCTATTCAAATGGAAATCCTGTGTGTGTTAATGTACAATAGATGCTTACTTATTGTGTTGTCTTATATTTGTGTTTTTTGTTTTTCCACCAGATTGGCGCTTATTTTAGCAGCATATTAGCAGAAAAGCTAAAACTTAATACTTTCCAGGACACAGGAAAGAAGAAACCACAAGTAAATGCCAAAGATAATTATTGGCTGGTTACTGCTCGCTCTCAGAGTGCAATTCACAACTGGTTCACAGATTTAGCAGGAAATAAACCACTGACTACTTTAGCAAAAAAGGTATAAACAGATTTTTCACTCCCCTTCTTTTTTTAATGTTCCTTGGATTTTACAGAGTTGGAGTATTTATGTAATACTTTATTTATATTTATATTAACCAATGCATATTTCTGCATTTATTATTAAAAAGTGACTTGATCTCATTCTGATCACAAAGCAGGCTTTCTATAAATCATTGTGCAGTAAGGGTGTAGATGGATATGGACTCCTCTATATACATCACATGGGGGAAATGCTTTTTTCTCTGTCCTGAGATGTACAGTAATGGGAAAATTGGCATACTTTATAATTGGGGTCCCCACTGAAATCAATATGATTTTGCCACTGACTTCAATGGGAGTAGGAGGATGCTTTGAAATGTTTATTCTTGTCTTTGTATCTTCTTATTCAAAAGAAAAGAGGCTAGATTCCCAAACACTGTCTAAACTGTGAAGTTCTTTGTGCAAACTGCCTTACTTCTCTTTGGCTATAGTTAACCTTGGGTAACCAGGTTCTCTGTGTATACGCTTTATTTAGATGTTTTCTGTCTCAATGCAAGAATTCTCCTCTACAAAAATTTCTCATAACAAAGTAAGAAAGTGTTGGAGGTTGATGCAGTATTGAGAGAAACACCTTGCTTTTACTCCAATCCTCTTGAATGCCCTTTACATTGACACCAATACATCCTTACTATCTCTTGTAAATTCTTTTCCTTTCACCATTCTTATTCCTAAGATCTTGCTCAGGTTTGATAGCAGCATGCTTCCAACAGCTCAAGGATGGGGGAAGACATCTTGCTTCTTTTCAGGTTTCTTTCAAATAGCATGACGTGTCTGGAAAAAAATTAGTGTGAAACTAGGAAAAAATTCTATCAAACTCTGATCAGTTAGGAATATTGAGACAATCAAGACAAATGTCAGTCTGGCAATGGAAATCTTAGACTGTGCTTGAGATGGAAACTGGAACCAAAATAACTAAATTGGTGTCATTAGTTATTTTGGTGTAAATCTGTCTGTGACAATCTTATTATGGAATAAGAGTGCCCTATGAATTTAAGTTACATTGAAATATGGTACTCTTATTCCACAATAAGATTGTGCACAGAGAGACCTGAACAGAGATAAATAAAGCTGTGAGTTATACCAAGTTTGGTTCTGGTTTCTGTGTTTCTAAGGCCTATGACTAAAATGAATAGCGTAGGAATATATACCATCCAGTGCCAGGAGTGAGTGTTTTATAATAAGAGCTATCAACCAATAAGGTTCATTTCTTAACTTAAAAAAATGTTAATCTCAGAAGTGGTGATACTGAAAGAATCCTTTAGACTATATTCTTGCTTCTTAGTAAGTGGCCAGGACACTTAAATGTCTGAATAGCTGGGATAATTGACCTGCCAATAACACCACAAAGGAATGCTAACACTGTCATGTGTCTAGTAACACAGAGTGGACCAACCACTGCTGCTGAACACCTGTGAGATACTGTATGAAAAAATTCTACCAGTCAATGTCAAAGATCATAAAAGCAGCCATTATTATACCAGGACAGCAAGCTGAGCATTCATGCCTTACTCCACAGTATGAAGAACAAGACTACTTGTGGCACCTTAGAGACTAACAAATTTATTTGAGCATAAGCTTTCGTGGACTACAGCTCACTTCATCGGATGCATGCAGTGGAAAACACAGTAGGAATATATATATATATATATATATATATATATACATACACACACACAACATGAAAGTGTGTATGGTAACACCCATTGTTTCATGTTCTCTCTCGGTGTATATGTGATATATGTGTGTGTGTATACACATATACATACACACACACACACACACACACACACACACATATATATCACATATACACAGAGAGAGAACATGAAACAATGGGTGTTACCATACACACTTTCATGTTGTGTGTGTGTGTGTGTGTGTGTGTATGTGTGTATATATATATATCCACTGCATGCATCCGATGAAGTGAGCTGTAGTCCACGAAAGCTTATGCTCAAATAAATTTGTTAGTCTCTAAGGTGCCACAAGTACTCCTGTTCTTTTTGCGGATACAGACTAACACGGCTGCTACTCTGAATCCACAGTATGAGTTGTTTTGAAAAAAAATGTTCAATGGATATGTTTTCCTCCTTAGATATTGCTTCAAAATGCATTATAAAATTATTCCAAATATATGCAAAAAATTAGACGATCTCCTGAGTTTATGGATTAACATAAAATTCCTTCTGAAGTATATTTTAGAATTAAATAGTCAAAATCTATAGAAACCCAAGCTGGTTTCCTTACAATTTGTTATATTGGATTTGCTATAGTATTTATTTTCTGTTTCATTCCAGGTTCCTATTCTCAGTAAAAAGGAGGATGTCTTTGCTTATTTAGCAAAATATTCTGTGCCACTACTGCGAGCAGCATGGCTGATCAAGATGACATGTGCCTACTATGCTGCTGTTTCTGAAGCTAAAATTAAAAAACGTCAGGCTACTGATCCAAATATTGGTAAATGAACAAGAATTCTCATGTCTAACTGCACTGTAATAATTGAATGGAACTGTTCCTTTTGTTCAGTGTTCTGGTGTTGCTAGGAAAGTATGTAGCAAAGAATCATTTATTAGTAGGAGTCTTACTTTTTTTCAATTAGGATTTCTATTCCCCTGTCCCGCACTCCTCCCCAAATCGTCAAATAATACAAAGCGCTATAAGATATAAAATATTGCCCCATACAATTACCCCTCCACCTGTCAAATCAAATCCCAAATCTCTAATCACTTTATTGAAAAGAATATACTGTATCTTAATCATCAGCTGCTGACATTCATCCCAGTGTAGAGAGCTCACCAAGGGGTCTATGGCCATTCAAGTTCCTCTTATTATGAAGTTAAAGGCTTAAATGGCCAGAGGTCCTTGTATGCTAGGATGAATGTCATCCTGGAGTGAATTGAATTGTTACTTTGAAAAGCCTGAAATGAAATTTGAAAGTTTATATTTTAGGCATAATTATATTTAAATGATTGTGGGAGCACTTTTCATTTCACCAGTGGGGGTTGAATGCTACCTTCTGGCACCAACTAGAAGTACTGGGCCAAGTACTGAATGTACCATGTATGTGAACATGAAACTCTAAAGAGCTTTCAAGAACCGTGACAATGGCATGCTCTTTCAAGAGCAATGGGGAATTTATGTCTTCCTGCTTAACTCCAACTTGAAAACATATTTGCAGACTGTTCAAGGCTGGAGAGTTTACATTTCATGTCAGATTTTATGTATGTACAGACAGCGTTGGCTGCCTGATCCAGATCTGACCTGTATGTCTTTCTCAGTGTTGTCAGAATAGCTTAGTGTGAGCTCGCTGGGGCAGGGACTGTCTTCTCCCTTCCTTGTGTGTACATTGCCTACCAGAATGGTGCTGCTGATTGTGGTTCCTAGGCACTACCAGAACATAAATAATAATTGGAACAAGCCTGCTCCTGGGGGAAATAGCCATATATCAGATCAGGAAAATGGCATAAGTCATTAGCATGGTCCATCTCGTTCCCGCTACCCATTTTCCATTTCCTCTGGGACAAGCCCACTATTCCAACTGCGGATCTCTCTCTTCTGTATTCTAGCACTATGTCCCTTACCTAAATCCTCCCTCTCTAGCTTCTTCCTGCCACTCTTCCTTGTTTGCGGGTTTGTACTAATTTATTATTTGTATTATGGTAACATCTAGAAACCCCAATCAAGAATCAGGGCTGTGTTGTGCTATGCACTGTGCCAGCCAAATGGCAAATAAAAAGACAGTCCCAACCTAGATATGAGACAGGACAAAATACAGTAGAACCTCAGAGTTACAAACAGAGTTATGAACTAACTGGTCAACCACACACCTCATTTGGAACCGGAAGCACACAATCAGGCAGCAGCAGAGACAAAAAAGAAAAAGAAAGGAGGGGGAAAAAAAAGCAGATACAGTACAATACTGTAAAGTCCTAAAAATAAATAAATAAAGAGAAAGTTTAAAAAAAAAAGATTTGACAAGATAAGGGAACTGTTTCAGTGCTTCTTTCATTTAAATTAAGATGGTTTAAAGCAGCATTTTTCTTCTGCATAGTAAAGTTTCAAAGCTGTATTAAGTCAATGTTCAGTTGTAAACTTTTGAAAGGACAACCATAACATTTTGTTCAGAGTGACAAACAACCTCCATTCCCAACGTGTTCATAACTCTGAGGTTCTACTGTAAATGGGCGAAAAATACAAAATGGATATCAGGACGAGATAATATATGAACAGAGGTTTTTAGCAGATAAACAGAGGATTTGATAGATACCAAGTCAAGTTGTTAACCTCCGGGGTTTACGGAAAGCATTTTTTAATTTAATATTTAAAGTTTAATACTGAAAGTACTTTTTAAACAATTGTTAAACATAGCTGAAGTACATCTCTGCTGCTGAGTGCACCTGGTAAACCCTGACTTTCTGTTTTAAGTCAAATGTCACTTTAAATTGGCAGCTCAGAACTGTGCCTTGGAATCCAACATCAAAGGGACTAAAACTAAATAAAAAATATTTAGCCAGTTTGGAAGTTGGAGAGTATGCAGATTGTTAGGGATGAAATAATATATGTTTACAACTCTTCCAGTACCTGGAATTAATAATTCCCTTCCTCCGCCCTTTATTTGTAATGTAAACCACTAAGTTAAAGCAAAAGCCCTTTGTTTTTCACTGCAACACTTCCGTGTCCCTACTATGAGCACCTGTAGTGTGTCTGGCTGTCATATCTTGCTGGTATTTCATGCAAACATTTTTTCAGTTACTATTTGTGGGTTTTTAGCCCCTAAACTTTGCTTTGATTAACCCATTTTAAGCTAGACAAGCATGTTTTTCACCTTTTAGCAAAAATCTTAGACAACTTAGCCCTCAAATGGGTATGTACAGAAATAAGTATCTGACCCAACTTTTCAAAAACTCTGAAAGTCTTTGTATTTTGGAAGTTTTAAAACAGTAGTAGATGGAACCAAGGAAACCTGTGGTAGTGCTGCGTGGTGCTAGCACCGTTAATACTAGGTGTGCTATTTTATTTTCCAACCTGCATAACCTGGGGCTTCAGATTCAGAGTCAAACCAGGAAGGAGACAAACTGAGGGTGTCTGCGTATATAGTATTGTTTTTTGGAAATATTGCTGCTCATGGCAAATTCATTAACAAACAAGAGTCAGTTGATTAGTTTATAATCAACTTGATTATGAAATGGACATTGCATTATAAAAATACATTAAAAGAACATTAAGATGGCAAAATTTGTCACTCAGAAGTTGGGAAATGCCAGATCTGAGGTTAACCATGCAACATTAATTTAGCCTTTTAGTGCATATGCATTATGATAGTCTTTTAAGTACATGATCACAGGGTCATTCAGTGCACAGGATGATAATCTAGACACTCAAAAATGTTTGATCTAAGATATTAATGTTTGGTTTTGCCCTAGGTTTTGGGCTAAAGTAAATGACAATTTTTTTTTGTCATCGGACAAATGCTAGGGGTTTCTAGATTAGTATTTTAAAACATATTAGTTAATTGGCAATCGGCTAACTTGAGTTAGAACAGGAACAAAAACTTTAGTCTGCCTACTTGTACTCATGCTACTAAAGAAGTCAGGCAAAGGGATATGAAACATAGAAACTAGAATTGTTTCCTATAACTGAAATATTTATAATTTTTTCTGTAAAACATGTGGCATATACCAAATACATGGCATTTTGATATGCTGTAAAGGTTTTCATAGTGCTTTTTGGGGATAATCTATATAACTCACTCTTGGCTTTGGCAGTCTCTTACTAATACATCCATGTTAAACTTATGCTGATCAAACTTTTGTACCACACAAATATGTTGTTTTGGTGTCTTCTACAAGTGTGCTCTGAGAAAAGTTCAGGACAAAAATGTATCCTTGCCCTCAGTACACATCACAAATCATTGAGAGAAGTAATTTGTGATTCTACAAGAGCTGGTCTTGTGTCTCAAGAGATGAAAGGCTTGTACATTAACCCACTGTACCAGCCAGTGAGGCACAAGTAAATGTGGATTTACTGGCAAGATGAGTTTTCAGGTTGCATTTATATCTTATTAGATAGAAATTGGGTCTTTGGAGGACAGTCTACTGAGGGATCATAAATATTTGAGTTTAAAATAATTATAACGAGAGTATTCTGCAAGCCCACATTTTCCTCTGAGAACCTTAATTTTATGTCTGTCTTTGGAAATGGGGCTGATTATCAGCTTACCATATTCTGAGCACAGCTAGATGGGGGTAGGTACAAAGGAGCAGTGTGCAACCACCCCAACCCCAATCCTGGGGCTAGTTCTGAATCAGCTAGATTTTCAGTGTAGGTTAGAGAAGCTTCAGGGTTGCTCTAAACAACGTTTGGGTGGAAACATCATTTAGGGATGAATTTATTAAAGGGGAAACTGCATATGCTAGTAAAGAAGATAGGAAAGAAATTGGTAAACTACAGATAGAAGCTAGTGAGAAACAGTCAACTGTAAAAGAGTCCCATTTAAATATAACACATGAAGGCAAGTAACTAAATATTGACAAAATTGTACAAGTGCTTATGTACAAATGCTAGAAGTCTAAATACTAAGATGGTGAACTAGAGTGCTTAGCATGAAATGAGGAAGGATATTGATATAATAGGCATCACAGAAACTTGGTAGAATGAGGATACCTAATGGAACACAGTAATATCAAGGTACAAAATATATAGGAATGACAGTGTAGGCCCTGCTGGTGGGAGAGTGGCACTATATGTGAAAGAAAGTATGGAGTCAAATAACGGTACCATAGAATCTCTATGGATAAAAATTCCATGTTTGAACAATAAGAGTATAGCAGTAGGACTGACCACCTGACCAGGATGGTGATGGTGATTGTGAAATGCTCAGGGAGATTAGAGAGGCTACAGAAGCAGACAATGCAATAATAATGGAGGATTGCAGCTATTCTCATATTGACCGGATATATGACCTCAGAAAGGGATGCAGAAATGAAATTTCTAGACACATTCAAATGATTCCTTCTTGGAGCAGCTAGTCCTGGAACAGTTCTTGACTTAGGCCTAAGTGGAGCACAGGATCTGGTCCGAAAGAGGGTAAAGCTGAACCACTTGGTAATAGCGACCCTAGTGTAATTAAAATTACGTCCTTGTAGGGGAAAAATACCAAAGAAACCCACCACAGTAGCATTTAGCTTCAAAAAGGGGAACTATACAAAAACGAGGAGGCTAGTTAAATGGAGATTAAAAGGAACAGTCACAAGGGTGAAATGCCTGCAAACTGTACGGAGGCTATTTAAAAACACCATAATAGAGGCTCAAACAAAATATATATCCCAAGTGTAAAAAAAAAAAAAAAGCCACTCTTGCTAAACAGCAGAGTAAAAAAGGCAGTTAGAGTTAAAAAGTCATCCTTTAAAAATTGGAAATCAACTACTAATGATGAAAATAGAAAGAGGCATAAACTC